GGGGTAAATTACAAACACCCCCCGAGGTATGGTCAAATTACAAAAAAACCCCTCTTGTTTGGATAATTACATCTACCCCTCAACTATGATTTTTTCTTACCTTTATGGTGCCAAATTCAACATAGTCATCTAAATTCCGTGAAATGTGCTCTAGTTTGTACTCTTTGTGTAAAAAATACAGTTTTCGATGCACCACAAACTGATATATACAAGCTAAAAATCACATATTATGGTCATCTTGCTTCATAATGTAGAGTTTGAATGGGATAAAACGGGTACAAAAGTGATAATATTCCATATAATCTCGAAGATTCCACTAAATTTGATGAGTTGAGGGGGTGGTTGTAATTATCCAAACAAGAGGGGTGTTTTTGTAATTTGGTCATACCTCAGGGGGGTGTTTGTAATTTACCCAAAAATCAATATTTATTTCAAGTGCTTGCAATTCCGACTCTTTATTTAAAACGGGTTTTGGATGGAAATGAGTTTCCAATTTTTATTAGTGCCAGAAACATCCCCAATTTTTTTAAATATTTACGAAAACAACCCTGAAACATTTTCAACATAAGTAATTACATTTCAATTTCCTAATATGAAAATGTGTATGCACAGAAGTTTCCGTGCATCGTAGCTGTTAACAAATTAAGAAACTTCAAAATTTACTTTCAATGCCATCCTTAGCAAAAAAAAAAGGCAATTAATTTATCCTCAAACAGAATTAGGAAGGTCAAAATTTTAAAATTACATCTCTCAAATTTCTTAATTTTTTTTTTAATAATAAATAGCCAAAAATGAAATAAAAAATAAAATAAAAAAAGAAAAATTAGCCCATCATCAGTGATCCCACAGTCTCTGCGCATGATGGCGACCATATAACGAACCACAATATTTATTATTTAATAATAATTGAAATATCTTCTTCTCCCTTCAGAACGATGCAATATTTTGTTACGTCGTGATATTTATTTATTTATTTATTTATTTTTTTTATTAATTGCAGTGAAATATTTCATCACAACAAAATCTCTGACGTAATTTTAATTTTTGTTAGCAGATCTTCAATTGAAGATCGACTCAATTCAATTTCCAGAAACTTCAGCTCACCCCTTCCTTCGAGGTTCGATTTTGACTGAGTTCTTCGCAATATTTCGATCAATCGAGCTTCGATTTTGTCAGAATTTGGGGATTTTATGCAAATTAATCAACTGTTTTGCGCTATGTGATCCGATTTGAAGCAATTTCTGCAAAACCTTTCTGCAAAAGTAAGTATTTTTTTCCCCCAATTTGCCTTTTGCTTCGTAATTAATCAAGAGTTTTGGGTTTTCTACTGTGTTTTTAATTTATGCCTTGGAATTTTCGGAAGTAAAGTAAATGGAAAATTCCATCTGTGTGAGCCCTATTTGTCTGCGTGTGTGTGAGCACTCAGGGTTTACCCTTTTTAGTGTGTGTATTTACTTTAATTTCGTGTATCTATACTTTTGTGGTGTGCTTGAAGTATTAGCAGAAAAAATGATGAGACAACATATGAAGAACTTATGATCCTGTTTCTTTTTTAAGAACTTGTTTAATGGTGCTTCTAACTTAATTTAATTTAATTTAATTTTTTGTTTTGTTTCGATAATCTAGTTAAAAGTACAGCATGGCAACTCCAGTAGAACCTCCAAACGGGGTTCGGTCGATAGGAAAGCATTACTACTCCATGTGGCAGACACTCTTCGAGATCGACACAAAGTACGTTCCGATCAAGCCCATCGGCCGCGGGGCCTACGGCATCGTCTGTTCTTCGATAAACAGAGAAACGAACGAGAAAGTCGCCATCAAGAAAATACACAACGCCTTTGAAAACAGTATAGACGCAATGAGAACTCTGCGCGAACTGAAGCTCCTGAGGCATCTTAGGCATGAGAATGTGATTCGCCTGAAAGACGTGATGATGCCTGTGAATAAACGGAGCTTTAAGGACGTGTACTTGGTTTACGAGCTTATGGATACGGATTTGCATCAGATTATTAAATCTTCTCAATCGCTTTCGAATGACCATTGCCAGTATTTCATCTTCCAGGTACTTTTTGTCCTTTCTCGTAAGCAAAGCTTCGTAAATGATTCGTTCGTAATATATAGTAAAAGTTCTCTTGGCGCGCTGTCAGTGTTATACTACTCCGAAAACTAACAAGTATGCATATAATTTTTATTTTTGTAAAGAAAAGGAGGGGGGCCATGGCCCCCTCCCCTGTTGCCCTCCGCTGCCTGCTAGTATGTTTGTAATTTGGAAGATTATATCGGCAGCAAATATAAAAATCAAGATAACTCTAATTTAGAGTTCTTTGATCACCTATACCCTTTTTTCTTGAAGAAAAATTAAGCAATTACTATGATGCCCTTCTGTATCGTGCTTGAAATGTTGGGAGCTATTTTTACTCCAATAACGAATGTTTGTTTAATTTCGTCATCATCCAATATTCTTTAGCCATAAAAAGATTCAGGAGACCTAAGATAGTAAGTACTACATTCGTTTTCATATTAAGTGTTGTTTAAGGTTGTTTCATACTGATTAAGAAATGCATTATACAACATTTGATTTTTGAGGAAAAAAGTTCTTATTTGACAACTTTATGCATTTATGGCTTTTCATTTTCTCTTATTAATCATTATTGTTAAAATTGGAAAAGAAAAAAAAAAACTGTCCTACTTTAAAACACTTAATATGGGGAAAAAATAGTATCGACTATCGAGCATTGATTTATTTTTATTTTGTAACTATTTTGAATTTTTGTCACTTCATGCAGTTACTAAGAGGCCTGAAATACCTCCACTCGGCAAACATCCTCCACCGCGACCTAAAACCCGGAAACCTCCTCATAAACGCAAACTGCGACCTCAAAATATGCGATTTCGGGCTGGCCCGCACAAGCGCAACCAAAACGGGCCAATTCATGACGGAGTACGTGGTCACGCGCTGGTACCGGGCCCCGGAGCTCCTCCTCAGCTGTGATAACTACGGCACCTCCATCGACATTTGGTCCGTCGGCTGCATCTTCGCCGAGCTACTCGGCCGCAAGCCACTTTTTCCGGGCACCGAGTGCCTCAACCAGCTCAAGTTGATAGTCAACACCCTCGGAAGTCAACGGGAGGAAAATTTAGGGTTTATCGATAACCCTAAGGCGAGGAGGTACATACAGTCACTCCCTTACTCGCATGGGGCCCACTTCTCGAGGCTCTATCCGAACGCAGATCCATTGGCGATTGATCTTTTGGGGAAGATGCTCGTTTTCGACCCAACAAAGAGGATTAGCGTGAGTGAAGCGCTAAGGCACCCGTATGTGGCGGCGCTGTGCGATGGGCGGTTCGATGTGACTGCTGAGGTGGAGGTTGGTGATCTTGAGATTGATGAGGATTTGGGGGCGGAGATGATAAGGGAGATGATGTGGAAGGAGATACTGCATTACCATCCGGAAGGTTCTGGAATCGAGTTCGAGGTCGGCGTTTGATTTTTGTTTTTTTTTCCGAGAATAATGAGAAACAAATGGATGAGCAGTTTGGGCAGGTAATATGCTTTTCTTCTTGTAATGTATTTATGGGCTAGAACTTGGTTATGGCAAAAAAGCCTTCTACTGTTTTTTTTGTACATATTGTATGTCTGTTTTGTATGCCTCAAAACTTTGTCTTTGTATATTAGTGATTAATATTATCAGATGAGAGTCTATAGGACATGTTGATTATTTTTATTTTTTTTAGTTTTTGTATAATAATTAGCGTAAATTACGGGCACTTCACGAGGTAAGGTCAAATTACGACAAAACTCTCCTAATGTTTGGGTAATTACAACCTCACCCTTCAATTATAAATCTTCTTACACGTCCACCCTTATGGTGACAAATTCAATAGAATCTTCCAGATTCCGTGGAATGTTCTCTAGTTTGTTCGTGTTGTGCAAAAATACAGTTTCTGATGCACTGCAATCAGATATTTACAAGCCAATAGACACATCTTATGATCATCTTGTTTCAAAATATGGAGCTTGAATGTGGTAAAATGGGTACAAATTAGAAAATATTCCACATAATCTAGAAGATTCCACTAAACTTAATACCTCAAGGGTGGACGTGTAAGAAGATTCATAATCGAGCAATAATTATAATTACTTCGATATGAGGGTTTTTTTTTTTTGTAATTTGATCTTATCATCACGAAGCGAGACTATAATAAACTCTTTAAGAATATTTTAATATCTGGGCCGAGGCCCATCACACTGTGTACATTTCAATTTGCAACACAGAAAGGATAAAAAATGTGCAGCATTCTAAATTGGCAGCTTAAGTATTTGAAAGCAAACACTTTTCGTAATGTCTTTATTGAAGCCACCGCTTCTGGTCTTCTTCAAACTTCAAATGCTCCACTTTTTATCTACTTCTATTTTATTTTATTTATATTTATTTAACCTTTAAAAAAAAATAAGTTTATTAGTAGTCATTATAACACGTGCTCGTCGTCGATTGTACTGATTTAACATTATGACATAATTTACAGCCGAATGGGATGATCTAACGGTTCGAACAAGTGAACTTGTATTAATCGACTCAAGTTCGAATTCCCTTATCAACGATCACTAGGTCGAGTTTGGTTTACGTCTCTCGTATAATTTGCAAACTATTATACGAGAGTGTAGATTTACCCAGTGTACTTATATTGTTGACTGCGAATTCCTTATTAAGATAAAACAAAGAATTACAAAAGGAATATGAGCAAAATTTTGAGACTTTTAACACTTAACAATTAACACTCCCATATATAGGACAAGAATAGTCAAAATTAGCAACAAATGATTAAATTAAAGTCAAACTATTTTATTCTTGCTTGGTTTATTTATAACTAGAAATTAGATATTCAAAATCAAATACAATAGGCGACAGCCTTGGAGGTGCATTGTATGCGGTCATGAAGAAAACAAAAAAATAAAAATAATAATAAAAAATTAAAAAATAATTGGAATAAATAGCCATAAATAGAGACAGACAGCCCACAAATATATAATATCACCTTATAAAAAATGATACAAAAAACAAAATGTCGATAAGAATAATTTTGTCCGCAGAAAGCAAAATATTGAAAAATATACAAATCTTGTTGGCCTAATGGAGGACCAAATAATAAGTTTTTTTGAATATAATTAAAATGAAATAACTATATATTGAGTAAATATTTTAATTCAACGAGTAAAAATACCCATACCAAAGCCAATTGTTATTTAATTTCCTGTTTGGTTGAATGATAGATCATAAAATAGTACCAAAAAATTTAATCCCGCATGCTGAGAAACAGTTTATTGTTTTTCAAATTAAATCTCTTTTCAGAATATTAATTAATGAAAATATATAATAAACTTTATCTTTGTGAGTTCTGTACTTAGAACTGTTTTGTGGTGGAACCTACATCACTACTCTATGGATAATATGAACCGGATTTATCACATATATATACAATTGAATTATATTTCAATATAATTGACATTTTTCTATTATTATTATTATTATTATTATTATTATTATTATTATTATTATTATTATTATTATTATTATTATTATTATTATTATTATTATGTGACATCCAATCGACATTTTAGTCATCTCCTTTACTCTAAAGTTTCTTATTTTAATTAGTGGTGTAATTAGTGGAGTCTTGTACACCATATATAGCCTTATTATGATGCATTATATGAGTCTAGAGAGAGATATACTCTGAGAGAGATTTTTTTTTCTTTCTTTTCTGGGGGCGGGACCCACCCCAAGCATACTTATATGTACGCCCCTACTGTATGAGATATTTTTTTACTGTTGAGAATTAATGTAATGTACAACTCTTGATCAATGATATCGTGCTCGTGCATTTGGTGGATGTAAGCTCTTATTGAGTCGAACCAAGTTAATTTTGATAAAAATCTATCTGTAATAACATTCACCCAATGTACCATAGAAAAAACCTGATCATAGCATACCTAAAGCAAAATAAAGATTGTTGAAAATAATTTTCATGTAGATAGAGAGGTATTAGTAGTTAGTAGACATCACCAAATATAGATATATAGCATGTGCAAAGATACGAAAATGACATGTTAACTTAAACTTTTTGGTGTGCCTTTGGAATGAAGCAATTTTACCATATTGGATATATTTATATATATACAAATTATTTATGAGAAAATATGGCTTTAGGAACTAATTGGGCACGTACAAGTCATGTTACAAAGTTATATTTATATGTATATGTATAGTGGGATTTTGCATCTACCTTTAACTTATTGCCTTTGGGTTTAAGTAGATAGTACTCTCAATTGACCACTCATAAATAGTAACCATGGTTGCTTTTTTTTTTTTTCTTCTCTAAGTTAAATTGTAACCATGGTTAAACTTTAGAAAACAATACATATGGGTAATTGAAAGAAAAATAAAAATTCAGGGGGCGTAGCCATGTAATTCGACCCTTAAAAGAGAGTTAAATTAGAAGCGAACACTCTAAGAGAAAAATTGAGTTGAATTACACGGACTGCGACATGCAATTATTGTACGTCGATTATGATCCACATCTTTTTTTCTGTTGTGGGAGAAATTTTATTCGGGCCACAACCTGCGAGAATAATGGACTGTAACTCCGTGGGTTTTTTTTTCATTTGAAAAAATTAGGAGCGAGATATATCGCAAAGCGAAATAAAATTTGACTAATTGAGATTTATGTATGATGTACAATTTGCATAGAGTTTCCATTGATTTTTTTTTAAAAGAAAAGTGTATATAAATAATGAGATAAATAGAATAGAAGACCTTTAAAAATGGCTTTATTTGAGTAGTAGCTCAAATTTATACAAAAAATGATTTAAGTAAAGCTGAAAATAGATACTGAAGCCATAACCACCGCTTTACCTTTGGGCAGGTAGGTAGGCCTCTCATTTCCCGACCCTACAAAACCGACCATTTTGCTTTTTTCTTTCTTCCACTTTTTATTTATTTATTTATAAATGTATATAATATTACTTTAAATAAATAAATAAAAAGGAAAATCATAAGTTCTCTATAATTACGATTCTAGGATAATTGATAAGGCAATGAGGATGTAATTTTACCCCATTGGCTTTATGTATGATAAGCAACTCTTATTTTCATCATAAGCAAATAAGGCATATAAAAGCTCCATATTTTATTAACTTTATACATATTTAAAAGAAAAGGAAAGAAATCTTTTTTTTGTTTTTTTGCCGGATTAGAAGCACCAGATTATGAACTTTTTTCTGCATATAATATGTTTTAAGGTATCTGCAAAACAAACGTTTCTCATAAAATAAGTTGCTTTAAACTGTAATTAAAAACACATATGTACCTGTTTTTCTATTTTAATTGATTTTCCAGCTAATTTGCTAACACTTCAAATTTAAAAAATAATCACTTAATTAACTTAACTTACAATCACGAACTTTTGCTTTTAAATAAAGTTCTGCAAACATCATCTATGACGATTGTTCTAATAAATTTATTATGTTTACTTAAATTGATGTGACAAGATATACTACCTAAAATGAATACGCAATGTTTTTGGTAGAGAAGGTGAGATGTAGTTATAAGATATGATGACATCTCAAATTAATTATATTATTAGTGTTAAGTTAATATTTTCATAAGAAGAGTATATTCTTTTAAAACCAAAGAATCTCATCGATTCTTCGTCTTTTATCACGAATTGATGTAATATGTGAATGATATTTTCTTTATTGATGGTTACATCTTTTGTCTCTTTTTCCTCGTTCAATCAAATTTTGACATCTTAAAAAGAGATTTTGTTTCGTACAATTATCTTTTTTTTTTTTTTTTTTTATTTTTTTTTTAGCTTTAAGAAAGTGCCGTTTTCCTTATATTTTTATTTACACGTTCGCGATTATTCATTCTAGAAGCAATTATAGATTCAAAGTAGTCTAGTTGTGAATGATTTTTTATTTATTTAGAGCGATGTACATTATTCTTTATTTAGTGGACTATTGCGCGATAGTTGAATGATTTATTGCACATCTATAGTTGCGAGTTTCCTCCTTAAAACAAGAAGGATGTTAAAACCTAATTGATTCCGTCAAATTGATCGATTTATTGTTTTGGTACTAGGAAATTAGGAATAGTTTTTTTTTTCGAGCACGAAAAATAGGATTACGTAAATATGGAGGAAATGTTGTACTTATATATGTATTTCCGAACTAACAAAAGAATTAAGAATAAAAATATATATAGAAGTAGTAGATAAAATGCATATCTTTAAAGTACTAATTTTGATTTTATTTATTGGGATTATTTTGTAGACCCCCTCATTTTCAAATTATATAGAACTAACTACCAAGTGGATTACACTCTAGGTGAAACCCCCCTCATTTCGAAAATATTTTGACATACCCCCCTGGGCTACCCTGAAGTACCTATAATACCCTTCTAAAATCAGTTTTAACCCTAGCCACTCACGGTCTCTCTCTTCTTCTCCCAGATTCAAAATCCCGCCTCTACAAACCTCTCACCGGCGAAATTGCTTCCCGGAGCCATAACTCTCTCTCCGGTGGTCGGAATTCGATGGTTTAACTACCGTTGGATTCCTCTCGTCGATCTCTTTCTTTTGGTGGTGATTTCATTCAGTTTCGAGCGCGGATCTGTTTCTGCAATTTTTTTTCATTCGAAGACGGTGGTCTTGCCGGA